TCCCAGTCCCTCCCAGTCCCTCCCAGTTTGGTCCCAGTCCCTCCCAGTCTGTCCCAGTCCCTCCCAGTCCATCCCAGTTTGGTCCCAGTTCCCTCCCAGTCTCCCTCTGACCCAAACCCACCAAAATTTGGGTTCAAACCCCTCAAATCCTCCCCATTTTGGTTACAAAAACCCCAAAATCTCCAATTTTCAGTGTAAAAAAAATCCAAATTTTGGTTCCAAACCCCAAAACACCAAATTTTGGGTTAAAACCCCCTCATTTTGGTCAAAAAAAAATTGTAAATTTTGGGTTTAAACCATCCAATTTTGGTTAAAAAATTTAAAATCCCTCCCATTTTGAGATGAAACCCCCTGATATTTGTTTTAAAATGTTTAAATTTTGGGTTAAAACCATCAAATTTTGGTTTCAGAGCCATAAAAATCTTTGAATTAATTTAAAAAATTAAAATCCCTCAAATTTTGAGGTCAAAAACCCTGATTTTGGTGTTAAAAATGTGTAAATTTTGGGTTAAACCCCTCCAAATTTGGCTTAAAATACATCAAAAATCTTCCAATTTTTGTTGAAAACCAGCAACAAATTCAAATTTTGGGTTGAAATTGTCAAATTTGGGGAAAAAAAAAACCCAACAAAATAAAATTTTTCCCTAAAAACTCAAATTTTAATGAACAAACTCAAATTTGGGGTTAAAAACCCCCTAATTTTGGTTTTAAAACCAAAACACTGAAATTTTACATCAAAAATCCCCAAAAATTCAAATTTTGGGTTTAAAACATCAAATTTCAGTAAAAACACTCAAACCCTTAAATTTTCATTTAAAAAAAAAACCCAAAAATCAAATTTTGGGTCCAAAAAATTCAATTTTGGTTAAAATTTCACAAATTTTTGTTCAAATTTTGGTTAAAACCACCAATTTTGGGGGGTTTAAAACATCAAATTTTGGTTCAAAATACCACAAATTCCTCAAATTTTGGTTAAAACCACCCAAAATACCCCAAATTTTGGTCAAAACTACCCAAGAAATTAAAATTTTGGTCAAAACAACCCCAAAATCCTCAAATTTTGGTCAAAACAACCCCTAAAATCCTCAAATTTTGGTCAAAACCACCCCAAGATCCTCAAATTTTGGGCAAAGCCACCAAATTTTGGTCAAAATGTTCAAATTTTTGGTCATCACCCACAAGTTTTGGCCAATCACAAAAAAATTGGGTCAAAATCAGCAAATTTTGGGTGAAAATTACCCCAAAAAAACCTCAAATTTTCCTCAAAACCACCTCAAGAACTTCAAATTTTGGCCAAAACCTTCTCAGAACCTTCAGATTTTGGTCAAAACCACCCCAAGAATTTGAAATTTTTGGTTAAAACCCCTCCAATTTCCATCAAAACCACCCCAAATCCTCAATTTTGGACCTAAACCACCCCAAATCCTCAAATTTGGGTCAAAACCAGCAAATTTTGGTCAAAATCACCCCAAGAACCTCAAATTTTCATCAAAACCACCCCAAAACTCCAAAGTTTCATCAAAACCACCCAAAAACTTCTAATTTTGGTCCACACCACCCCATGAACCTCAAATGTTCACCAAAACCACCCCAAATTTCCACCAAAACCACCCCCAACCTCTCCAATTTTGGGTCAAACCCCTCCAATTTCCATCAAAACCACCCCAAATCCTCAATTTTGGACCTAAACCACCCCAAATCCTCAAATTTGGGTCAAAACCAGCAAATTTTGGTCAAAATCACCCCAAGAACCTCAAATTTTCATCAAAACCACCCCAAAACTCCAAAGTTTCATCAAAACCAATCCAAAGAATTCCAGAAGTTCATCTAAACCACCCCAAACCTTCCAATTCTGCTCCAAGAATCTCAAATGTTCACTAAAAACACCCCAGGAATTTGAAATTTTGGTCAAAACCTCCCCAAAACCCCCAAATTTTGGCCAAACCAGGAAAATTCTGGTCAAAACCACCCCAAGAATCTCCAATTTTCACCAAATCCAACCTTAAACTCTCTAATTTTGGTCAAAACCACCCCAAACCTTCAAAGTTCCACCAAAACCACCCCAAGAACCCCAGAATTTCATCAAAACCACCCCAAAAACTTCTAATTTTGGTCCACACCACCCCAAGAACCTCAAATGTTCACCAAAACCACCCCAAATGTTCACCAAAATCACCCCAAACCTCTCCAATTTTGGGTCAGACCCCTCCAATTTCCATCAAAACCACCCCAAATCATCAATTTTGGACCTAAACCACCCCAATTCCTCAAATTTGGGTCAAACCCGGCAAATTTGGGCCAAAATCAACCCAAGAACCTCAAATTTTCATCAAAACCACCCCAAAACCCAAAAATGTTCACCAAAACCATCCAAAGAATTCCAGAAGTTCATCTAAACCACCCCAAACCTTCCAATTCTGCTCCAAGAATCTCAAATGTTCACTAAAAACACCCCAGGAATTTGAAATTTTGGTCAAAACCTCCCCAAAACCCCCAAATTTTGGCCAAACCAGGAAAATTCTGGTCAAAACCACCCCAAGAATCTCCAATTTTCACCAAATCCAACCTTAAACTCTCTAATTTTCATCAAAACCACCCCAAACCTTCAAAGTTCCACCAAAACCACACCAAGAACTCCAGAATTTCATCAAAACCACCCCAAAAACTTCTAATTTTGGCCCACACCACCCCAAGAACCTCAAATTTTCACCAAAACCACCCCAGGAATTTGAAATTTTGGTCAAAACCTCCCCAAAACCCCCAAATTTTGGCCAAACCAGGAAAATTCTGGTCAAAACCACCCCAAGAATCTCCAATTTTCACCAAATCCAACCTTAAACTCTCTAATTTTCATCAAAACCACCCCAAACCTTCAAAGTTCCACCAAAACCACACCAAGAACTCCAGAATTTCATCAAAACCACCCCAAAACTTCTAATTTTGGTCCACACCACCCCAAGAACCTCAAATGTTCACCAAAACCACCCCAAATTTCCACCAAAACCACCCCCAACCTCTCCAATTTTGGGTCAAACCCCTCCAATTTCCATCAAAACCACCCCAAATCATCAATTTTGGACCTAAACCACCCCAAATCCTCAAATTTGGGTCAAACCCGGCAAATTTGGGTCAAAATCACCCCAAGAACCTCAAATTTTCATCAAAACCACCCCAAACCTTCAAAGTTCCACCAAAACCACCCCAAGAACCCCAGAATTTCATCAAAACCACCCCAAATTTTCACCAAAACCACCCCAAACCTCTCCAATTTTGGGTCAGACCCCTCCAATTTCCATCAAAACCACCCCAAATCATCAATTTTGGACCTAAACCACCCCAATTCCTCAAATTTGGGTCAAACCCGGCAAATTTGGGCCAAAATCACCCCAAGAACCTCCAATTTTCATCAAAACCACCCCAAAACCCACAAATGTTAAATCCCCAAAATCTTCTCGGACGCCGCATTTTGCCGAATTCCGTCGTTTCCGGGATTTTTTTCCATCTTTCCTGGGCGTTTCCGAGGTTTTGCCGTCACTTTTCCGTCGATTTTTGGGAATTTGGGGTTGGGTCGGGGTCGAGGCGGTTTTGGGTGGGGTCGGGAACTTTTGGGTGGGTTTGGAGCCATTTTGGGTGGGTTTTGCCCATTTTTGGGTGGTTTCAAACCAAATTTTGATGGGTTTCATCCATTTTTGGTGGTTTCATGACCTTTTTGTTGGGTTTGGACCAATTTTTGGCGCGTTCAAGACTTTTCTGTTGAGTTTGGATGAAATTTGGTGGTTTCAAACCGCTTTTGATGACTTCAAAACCTTTCTGTTGTCCGTCGAAGAAATTTTGGGGGTTTCACGCTCGTTTTTATGGTTTTAGGTCAATTTTTGACGCTTTCAAGACGTTTCTGTTGAGTTTGCATGAAATTCTGGCGGTTTGAAACCAATTTTTGATGGTTTTAAGACCTTTCTGTTGGGTTTGGAAGAAATTTTGGGGGTTACAAGCTAATTTTTGGTGGCATCAACACCTTTCTGTCAGGTTTTGACCATTTCTTGATGGTTTCAAGACTTTTCTGTTGGGTTTACACCAATTTTTGGCGTTTTCAAGCCATTTTTGGTGGTTTCACGCCGATTTTTGATGGTTTCAAGACCTGTCCATTGGGTTTGGAAGAACGTTTGGGGGTTTCACGCCCATTTTTAAGGTTTTAGGACAATTTTTGATGGTTTCAAGACTTTTCTGTTGGGTTTACACCAATTTTTGGCGTTTTCAAGCCATTTTTGGTGGTTTCACGCCGATTTTTGATGGTTTCAAGACTTTTCTGTTGGGTTTAGACCAAATTTTGGTGGTTTCAAATAATTTTTGACGGCTTCAAGATCTTTCTGTTGAGTTTGGACCAAATTTTAGTGGTTTCAAGAATTTTTCTTTTGGGTTTGGACCAATTTTTGGTGGCTGCAAACCGATTTTTTGATAGTTTCAAGAGCTTTCTGTTGGTTTTGGAAGAAATTTTGGGGGTTTCACGCCAATTTTCATGGTTTTAGGACAATTCTTGATGTTTTCATGACATTTCTGTTGAGTTTGGACCAAATTTTCGTGGATTCAAGATTTTCTGTTGGGTTTGGATCAATTTTTGGCGGTTTCAAACCAATTTTTGATGGTTTCAAGACCTTTCTCGTGGGTTTATACCAAATTTTGATGTTTCAAGACCTTTCTGTTGGGTTTATATCAGGTTTTGGTGGGTTCAAGACTTTTCTGTTGAGTTTGAACCAATTTTTTGTGGTTTCCAACCCATTTTTGATGAGTTTCAAGACCTTTCTGTTGGGTTTACACCAGTTTTTGGCATTTTCAAGCCATTTTTTTCACTTTCAACGTTTGAACCAATTTTTTGTGGTTTCCAACCCATTTTTGATGAGTTTGAAGACCTTTCTGTTGGGTTTATATCAGGTTTTGGTGGGGTCAAGACTTTTCTGTTGAGTTAGAACCAATTTTTTGTGGTTTCCAACCCATTTTTGATGAGTTTGAAGACCTTTCTGTTGGGTTTATATCAGGTTTTGGTGGGGTCAAGACTTTTCTGTTGAGTTAGAACCAATTTTTTGTGGTTTCCAACCCATTTTTGATGAGTTTGAAGACCTTTCTGTTGGGTTTATAGCAGGTTTTGGTGGGTTCAAGTCTTTTCTGTTGGGTTTGGAAGAAATTTTGGGGGTTTAAAGGCAATTTTTGTGCATTTAGGTCAGATTTTGATGGTTTCAAGACCTTTCCGTTGGGTTTACGCCAATTTTTGGCATTTTCAAGCCATTTTTGGTGTCTTCAAAGCAATTTTTGACACTTTTAAGACCTTTCTGTGGGGTTTAGACCAAATTGTGATGGTTTCAAGACCTTTCTGTTGGGTTTACATCAATTTTTGCTGCTTTCAAGCTAATTTTGGTGGGTTTAGGCCTTTTTTTGGTGGTTTCAAGAATTTTCTGTTGAGGTTGGGTCAAATTTTGGTGGTTTTGAACAATTTTTGGTGGGTTTTGACCAATTTTTGATGGTTTCAAGACCTTTTTTTTGGTGCAACACCAATTTTGGTGGGTTCAAGACCTGCCCATTGGGTTTGGAAGAAATTTTGGGGATTTCAAGCCAATTTTCGTGATTCTAGGGCAATTTTTGATGGTTTCAAGACCTTTTTTTTGGTGCAACACCAATTTTGGTGGGTTCAAGACCTGTCCATTGGGTTTGGAAGAAATTTTCGTGATTCTAGGACAATTTTTGATGGTTTCAAGACCTTTACTGTTGAGTTTTGACCATTTTTGGATGGTTTAAACCAACCTTCGACCGTTTCCAAACTTTTCCGTTCCTTTCCCACCACTTTTTACGACTTTCAAGCCATTTTTGATGACTTCAACTCAATTTTTTTCACTTCCAACCCATTTTTGCCACTTCCTAACCAATTCTTGATGATTTCAAGACTCTTCTCTCGGTTCCTCACCATTTTTTTGTTGTTTTCAGACAATTTTTTCCCGTTTCAACCAATTTTTGCCACTTTCAAGATGATTTTTGATGGTTTCAAGACCTTCTCTTGGTTCCTCACCGATTTTTTGCAGCTTTCCCACTAATTTTTGTGTCTTTTAAGCCATCTTCTGATGGTCTCCAACCATTTTTGATGCTTTCACACCGATATCTGCCATCTCCAAACCATTTCTGATGATTCCAAGACAATTTCATTGGTTTCCCACCATTTTGGTCCCTTTCAAGCCACTTTTGATGGTTTCGAGCCAATTTTGGTGGGTTTGGACCAATTTTTGAAGGTTTCAAGCCAACTTTTGGTGGTTTCAAGCCCTTTCTGTTGGGTTTGAACCAACTTTTGATGGTTTCCAGACCTTTCTGTGGGTTTTTCTCCATTTTTTGGTACTCTCAAGCCACTTTTGATGAGTTTGAGACCTTTCTGTTTAGTTTGCACCAATGCTTTCACCCTTTTTTTGATGATCTCAAGACCTTCGTGTTGGGTTTTGACCAAGTTTTGGTGGTTTCAAACCAGTTTTGGTGGTTTCACCCTTTTTGGACCATTTCACGCTCTTTTTTTTGCGGTTTCAAAACCTTTCCATTGCTTTTCTTCCAATCTTTGATGGTTTCAAGACCTTTCTTTTGTGTTTAGACCAATTTCTGGTGGTTTCAAGCCAAATTTTTTCACTTTTCAACCCACTCAAGACCTTTCCATTGGTTTTCAATGATTTTTTATGACTTTCAAGCCAATTCTGGATGATGTCAAGACCTTCCCTCAGTTCCTCACCAATTTTTGTCACTTTCAGACATTTTTTGCCACTTTCAACCCATTTTTGATGGCTTCAAGACCTTTCTCTCTTTTTTTTGCGGTTTCAAAACCTTTCCATTGCTTTTCTTCCAATCTTTGATGGTTTCAAGACCTTTCTTTTGTGTTTAGACCAATTTCTGGTGGTTTCAAGCCAAATTTTTTCACTTTTCAACCCACTCAAGACCTTTCCATTGGTTTTCAATGATTTTTTATGACTTTCAAGCCAATTCTGGATGATGTCAAGACCTTCCCTCAGTTCCTCACCAATTTTTGTCACTTTCAGACATTTTTTGCCACTTTCAACCCGTTTTTGATGGTTTCAAGACCTTTCTGTAGTGTTTTGACCAATTCCTGATGGTTTCCCCTATTTTTTGATGATTTCAAGACCTTTCTGTTGAGTTTCAACCAAGTTTTGGTGGTTTCAAGCCGATTTTGGTGGGTTTAGGTCAAGTTTTGTTGTTTCACGACCTTTCTGTTGTGTTTGGACCAAATTTTGGTGATTTCAAACCGTTTTTGGTGGGTTTATATCAAGTTTTGATGGTTTCAAGACCTTTTCATTGGCTTAACACCAACTTCTGGTGGTTTCAAGCTGGTTTTGGTGGGTTCAAGATCTTTGCGTTGAGTGTAGAAGAAATTTTGGGCGTTTCACACCCATTTTTTTTGGTTTTAAGGCAATTTTTGATGGTTTCAAGACCTTTCTGTAGTGTTTTGACCGATTCCTGACGGTTTCATCCATTTTTTGATGATTTCAAGACCTTTCCGTTGACTTTCAACCAAGTTTTGGTGGTTTCAAACCGATTTTGGTGGTTTCAAGCTATTTTTGATGCTTTCACCCATTTTTGGACTGTTTCACACCATTTTTTGTGGTTTCAAACCTATTCCACCAGTTTTCTACCCGTTTATGGATGGTTTCAAACAAATTTTGGCGGTTTCAAGACCGTTCTTTTGGGTTTAGACCAATTTCTGATGGTTTCAAGCCACTTTTTCTCCCTTTCAAGCCATTTTTGACGGCTTCAAGCCAGGTTTTGATGGCTTCAAGACTTTCCTGCAGTGTTTTGACCAATTCCTGATGGTTTCACCCATTTTTTCATCATTTCAAGACCTTTCTCTTGGGTTTTTACCAATTTTTGATGGTTTCACCCATTTTTTTCCTGCTTTCAAAACTTTTCTGTCGAGTTTCGACCAAGTTTTGGTGGTTTCAAACCATTTTTGGTGATTTCAAACCCTTTTGATTTGTTTTTTTACCAATTTGTGACGGTTTCAAGCCTTTTTTTTCACTTTCAACCCATTTTTGATGGCTCCAAGCCAATTCCATTTGCTCACCACCAATTTTTGTTGCTTTCCACAAATTTTTGCCACTTCCAACCCATTTTTTGATGGTTCCAAGCCAATTCCACTTGTTCACCACCAACTTTTGTCTCTTCCAACCCATTTTCACCACCTCAATGCCATTTTTGATGTTTCCAAGGCAATTCCGTTCGCTCACCACCAACTTTTGTCTCTTCCAACCCATTTTTGTCACTTTCAACCCATTTTTGTAACTTTCAACCCATCTTTGATGGTTCCAAGCCAATTCCGTGCACTCACCACCAACTTTTGTCTCTTCCAACCCATTTTTGGTGTCTTCCAACCCATTTTTGTCACTTTCAACCCGTTTTTTGATGGTTCCAAGCCAATTCCGTGCACTCACCACCAACTTTTGTCTCTTCCAACCCATTTTTGTCTCTTCCAACCCATTTTTGATGGTTCCAAGCCAATTCCGTTCGCTCACCACCAACTTGTGTCTCTTCCAACCCATTTTTGTCCCTTCCAACCCATTTTTGTCCCTTCCAACCCATTTTTGTCCCTTCCAACCCATTTTTGTCCCTTCCAACCCATTTTTGTCCCTTCCAACCCATTTTTGTCCCTTCCAACCCATTTTTGTCCCTTCCAACCCATTTTTGTCCCTTCCAACCCATTTTTGTCCCTTCCAACCCATTTTTGTCCCTTCCAACCCATTTTTGTCCCTTCCAACCCATTTTTGTCCCTTCCAACCCATTTTTGTCCCTTCCAACCCATTTTTGTCCCTTCCAACCCATTTTTGTCACTCCCACCCCATTTTTGATGGTTCCAAGCCAATTCCGTTCGCTCACCACCAACTTGTGTCTCTTCCAACCCATTTTTTCTCTCTTCCAACCCATTTTCACCACCTCAAAGCCGTTTTTGATGGTTCCAAGCCAATTCCGTTCGCTCACCACCCCCCCGCCCGAACAAAAAAACCCCGAAAAAGTCATGTTTTATTTTTGGATCTGGAATATAAAAAGCCGCAGGTTGATGTTCTTGGCCGCCAGCAGTTTGTTGCACTCCACCGAGTCGACGATGGGCAGCGCCATGTAGTCGGTCTCGTTGCTCTCGTTGCTGAAGACGAAGTGGTAGATGACCGGGTTGATCTTGACGTCGTCGTAGGGCCCTTCCAGGAGCAGGAAGGAGCATTCCATGGGGGAGTTGACCTTGCTCTTGAGGATCAGCTGGAAGCTCAGCGTGCGCTTGCAGGACAGGTTGGGGTTGCGCTCGGAGTCGTTGACGCGCGCCTTCAGCACCCAGGTCTGGTTGAGCACGGTGAGGCGCGGCGTCTCGTAGTACAGGCGCGTGATGAAGTCGTCGGTGCGGTACGGGCGGAACTGCACCTCTGGGAAAAAGACAAAAAAATTTGGGGTGAGGTGGGAAAAGGAATTGTCACTGAGCTCCTAAAGGGCTGGCCAGTGTCGTACAGCGTCCCAGGAAGCGTCGTCAGATCCTGCGAGGATTCACCGTTATCCTACAAAATTCCCCAAATCATCAACAGATCCGACGAGGATTCACCGTTATCCTACAAAATTCCCCAAATCATCAACAGATCCTACGAGGATTCATCGTTATCCTACAAAATTCCCCAAATCATCAACAGATCCTACGAGGATTCACCGTTATCCTACAAAATTCCCCAAATTATCAACAGATCCTACGAGGATTCACCATTATCCTACAAAATTCCCCAAATCATCAACAGATCCTACGAGGATTCATCCTTGTCCTACAAAATTCCTGAAATCATCAACAGATCCTACGAGGATTCACCGTTATCCTACAAAATTCCCCAAATTATCAACAGAGCCTATGAGGATTCAACATGGTCCTACAAAATTCCTCAAATCATCAACAGATCCTACGAGGATTCACCGTTATCCTACAAAATTCCTCAAATCATCAACAGATCCTACGAGGATTCACCGTTATCCTACAAAATTCCCCAAATCATCAACAGATCCTACGAGGATTCATCATTGTCCTACAAAATTCCTCAAATCATCAACAGATCCTACGAGGATTCACCGTTATCCTACAAAATTCCCCAAACCATCAACAGATCCTACGAGGATTCATCACGGTCCTACAAAATTCTAAGAATTCTCATTAGATCCTCACAGGGTTCACCAGGATCCTGCAGAATTCCCAGGATCATCATCAGATCCCAAAGTGGAGTCACCATGGATCCTACAAAATTCCCAGGATCATCACCAGATCCTAAACTCAATTCAACAGGATGCTCCAAAGCCAGGATCCCAGCGATCCTACGAGGATTCATCACGGTCCTACAAAATTCTAAGAATTCTCATTAGATCCTCACAGGGTTCACCAGGATCCTGCAGAATTCCCAGGATCATCATCAGATCCCAAAGTGGAGTCACCATGGATCCTACAAAATTCCCAGGATCATCACCAGATCCTAAACTCAAGAGGATGCTCCAAAGCCAGGATCCCAGCCCATCCCAGTCCCACCCAGTCCATCCCAGTCCCATCCCAGTCCATCCCAGTCTGTCCCAGTTCACCCCAGTCCATCCCAACCCCATCCCAGTCCCATCCCAGTCCCACCCAGAGCCCCCAGGTCAGGGATGGAGTCGTCGGTGCGGTACGGGCAGAACTGCACCACTGGGAAAAAGTCAGAAAATTTTGGGATGAGGTGGGAAAAGGGTTCGGACAGGGCAGGAATTGTCACTGAATTCCTACGGATTCATCGGGGTCTTAGAACGTTCCAGGAGCCAACATCAGATCCTACAAGAATTCAACATTATCCTACAAAATTCCTGAAATTATCATTGGATCCTAAAAAGGATTCACCATGGATCCCATCAGGATCCATCAGGATCCTACGAAACTCCCAGGATCATCATCAGATCCTACAAGGATTCACCAGGATCCTACAAAATTCCCAAAATCATCACCTGATCCTCAACTGGATTCACCAGGATGCTCCAAAGCCGGGATCCCAGTCCATCCCAGGATCCTATAAAATTCCTGGAATTAATATTGGGTTCTAAACGGGATTCATCAGGATCCTGCAAAATTCCCAAAATTATCACCAGATCCCAAAAGGATTCAACCTTGTCCTACAAAATTCCCAGAATTATCACTGGATCCCAAAAGGATTCCACCTTGTCCTACAAAATTCCCAAAATTATCACCAGATCCCACAAGGATTCATCATTACCCTACAAAATTCCCAAAATTATCACTGGATCCCAAAAGGATTCCACCTTGTCCTACAAAATTCCCAAAATTATCTCCAGATCCCAAAAGGACTCACCATTATCCTACAAAATTCCAGAATTATCATCAGATCCTACAAGGATTCATCATTACCCTACAAAATTCCCAGAATTATCACCAGATCCTAAAAGGATTCCCCGTTATCCTAAAAAATTCCTGGAATTATCACCGGATCCCAAACTGGCAACATCTACACCCTAAAAAAATTTCCAAAATCCCTGGAAAACCTCAAAAAACCTTTAAAAAAACCCAAAAAATTTGTGGAATTTGGGGGCATTCCTGAACCGGTGTATCCGATCTTCTCGAAGCCGAGCAGGCTGAAGAAAATTTGGGAAAACCATCAGAAGATCCTGGAATATCCTTGGAGAACCCTGAAAAACCGTTGGAAAACCATGGAAAACTCTTGGAGAACCCCAAAAAACCTCCAGAAACCTTGGCAAATCCTTGGAAAACCCCAAAAGAGCTTCTGAAAACCTTGGAGAACATCTGGAGAACCCCATAAAACCTTCTGAAAACCATGGAAAACCCTTGGAGAATCCCAAAAAAACTCCAGAAAACCTTGGCAAACCCTTGGAAAACCACAAAAGTGCTTCTGAAAACCCTGGAGAACATCTGGAGAACCCTGAAAAACCCTTGGAAAACGATGGAAAACCCTTGGAGAACCCCAAAAAAACTCCAGAAAACCTTGGCAAATCCTTGGAAAACCCCAAAAGAGCTTCTGAAAACCTTGGAGAACATTTGGAGAACCCTGAAAAACCTTTGGAAAACCATGGAAAATCCTTGGAGAGCCCCAAAAAACCACCAGAAAACCTTGGCAAATCCTTGGAAAACCCCAAAAGAGCTTCTGAAAACCTTGGAGAACATCTGGAGAACCCTGAAAAACCTTCTGAAAACCATGGAAAATCCTTGGAGAACCCCAAAAAACCTCCAGAAAACCTTGGCAAATCCTTGGAAAACCCCAAAAGAGCTTCTGAAAACCTTGGAGAACATCTGGAGAACCCTGAAAAACCTTTGGAAAACCTCAAGAAACCTTCAGAAAATCCCAAAAAACCTGAAGAAAACCTCAGAAATTTTGGGGATTTCATGGAATTTTGTGGAATTTTTGAGGATTCCCGTACCGGTCTATCTGATCTTCTGGAAGCTGAGCAGGCTGAAGATGCTGCTGTAGAGCTGCATCTCCTTTGGAAAAGCCCTAAAAACCTTGGAAAACCTTGGCAAACCTTTGGAAAACCTTCAGAAAACCTCAGAAATTTTGGGGATTTCATGGAATTTCGTGGAATTTTTGAGGATTCCCATATTGGTGTAGCCGATCTTCTCGAAGCTGAG